ACTGATCTATTGGTAAATTTGTTTTTCACTCACCTCCAATTCGTTTCTGACGCAAATAATTCGCATCGGGACAGATATACTCTAACATTGCCACAACATCGGCATAATCCACATCCTTGATATGTACGCATCCTTCGCGAGCTTCCGTGAAGTTTCTATCGAAACAGATCCTGTAATCTGTGTTACTTGAACACGAAATACTTCGAAAATCTGAGGTAGAAATAAAGCTCCGTTTACCTGTTGAAGTAGGGAGATATTTCAGCCATCCAGTGTGCGTTCACAAAAAGTGAACCACCACCAAGAACAACCTCAAACTGCCGAAGAGTTGAGGTCGATGCAAATTCACACATACAAACTGGAAAGGAGAGAATTCAGAGAAATCCAATCAATCACCCACGAATACATAGAAAATGAGCAAAACTTGTAGATGGACGGGCACATAAGCGAAATTCTCAGGAAAGCCTAATCCAAAAAGACAAAAAAAAATATCCGCGATGAGCGAAATTGACGAAATATTCGATCATCAACAAATGAATCATCAAGACACCAACGCATATGTGCATGCTGGAGTGTAAGAGGCATGCTGACAAAAACAATAACAGAAGGCAAGTCACCACAAAGAGCCGATCGTTAACAACCACGGCGAGCACATAGCGAAGTTTGCCCGTAGCAATTGAGGCAAGTGGCTGAGCAAGCTCGAAACAGACACCAATAAAGGGGTAAAGCCAAGGGCACACATGCCGTCTTTTACGGTCATTGTTCAATTATGTTTGGGTTGTAGCTGAAGTCAGCTCATTTTGGTGCAACATGCATAGTAAACCCGACACTAGCAATTTTCAACAAAGCATCAAGTAATTCTACATTTCCACTACCCAAAAACTGTGCATCTGCTTCTTGAGTTCAATAATAAAGGCGAAAGCCACGAAGTTCCCAACACGACCATTAAAAAACTTTTCGTACGTTTGAAATAAAAATCAATAGAGCAAATGACCTTCGAAGAATGAAGAATTGTTTTTCAAAAGAAGAAGTACACAAAATCATTTCAGCAATACTCGTTATAACGCAAGATGCCAACAAACTGGTATCAGGTATCAGGCCGACCACGAAAGTATAAGAACCGCTATACGGTTTCATAGTGTAAAGGTGTAAAGAAAACAACGAAGAAAGGCAGCGAAAGTGTTAATTTACTGGAGAAGTTCCAATCTGAATGTTTGCTTGTAGTGAGTTAGTATAGCCTTCCAAAAACTCAAAAGTGACAAGAGCGCAGAGTGAGCGATCGGAAAAAAGTGCACTCTCGCATGGCACCGGTTCATGTCAATGGCAGTTTAACCACCCGTCGATCCGCTCTGGTAAAAGTTGTTTGCCGGAGAGTCGGCGAAACGCGTTCGAGATGCCAAAACCCGTTCTTTGTCAGCTGGCTTCTCATCAACTCTTCCCTCACTCAACACACACGCACAAATCGAAAAAAAGGTCTCAGAAATACTCTTCGGGAAGGTTCGCCTCGGGTTTAGTGGAGTAAAACTGGTATGAACCATCCATTTTGTAAATTATGGTGGCGGAACTGAAGCAACAACTGCACCTGAATAGACGAAGTTCAGATAATAGAATACGAAGATGGATCGCTATTCAGTGGTACTAAGAGCCCGCAATCTTCTAAATACAAGCTTAATGACATTTTCATTACATTAAACACATTGTAATGCTTGCGATGTTGCTTCCACAAAGCAAATGTTGCGATATGGAGGCATTAAAAACCGGTTCTAAGTAGTGAAATGGCACAATCAAGAAGTAAGATAGCTTCTGCTCAAAACTGATAAGGCATAGTCACATGTTTTCAAAACAACGTTCTTCAACTCGTTTTCTTTGAAAAATCTGGGGTTTTCTCTTTCAACAGTGGCGCCGAAGCAAGAATAAATGACCCTTTAAATCTAAATCGCAACACTATCATCACTTTAAAATGATGGTCTGAAAAAAATCCTGCCGGAATGCCTGATAAGCAAAAATTTCCGACAGCAGCAAATAACTTGATAGGACAGCTGCTCTTTCTCATAGTAAGTGATTTTCGCACCACATAGAAATACGAAAATTATCCAGTAATAACCCGTGACAAGGTTTCGGCAGGCGTTTATAGAACAACAAAATGCGCGTTTCAGAGTGAATACCATTTCGATTCTCCAATTGTAATATTATGATAGGCAACTCTTTACGCAGAAAATGCCTTACCAGGGAGAGAATATTTCAGAGGCAAACGCCTTGCATGCCGAATTATTTTTACCTAACATCGCCGTTGAAGGTCATCACACTCTGCCAAAACAGGATCATCCAGGTAAAAATGTTTGGCAAAAATAGCGCGAGATCTGAGAGATAAAGGCAAGATTTAAGAGTCAAAGGACAAATGTCAGCAGGCGCGAAAACGAGAAATCTAACTCCATAGAGAGCAAAATAACTCATTCCTAAAAGTATCACGAAGAACAGTTGAATTAGAATTCTCCGACAATAATATACTTCAAGCATAATACGAATCTATTTACGATGACATAATCGCAGCGAAATATGAGATTAATTAATCTTGGAACAATAGGGTATGGTAGAGCGTAAAAATATTTGGCGGAAACTAAAGGGACTGAGGCTGCATTAAATGCGTTTTTATAGAGCAACTGCATTGCTTGATTACTCTTACACGTCAGCTGAGCAACGTGTAAGATCTTGTATAGACCGTTTTTTTTT